GAAGCTACATTTGCAGTGGTCTATTTGTCATTATGCCTCACTGTTTCTGAAAATACCATTCCAAGAATTTCCTGGCATTCAGCCACGGGGTCCTTCAGATTATGCTTATAGTAAAAACATTTAGGATGAGATTCCCCAAATATACTTAAACAGCAGCTCCAACATTTAAGAACATTGCTTCATCTCCCACTCATTTCTTCATCTCCACTCGTTATTTCATCAGACTTAAATAATCTAAATTCCAAATATTCTGCTGAACACCCAGAAACCCAAAAGATCGCTCACATCTTGAGGTCCCCAATCACTGTAACACTTGAACCTTTGCAAATAGATTAACCCACCAGATTGGTTTGGTTTAGTTTGGCTTGGTTTGGTTTCATGTCATTTCATTTGTGACACAGGGCCTTTTTTACCTACCCAGAACGTGCCACATCAAGGACAGCAGTTTTCTGTCTAGGCCACTGGTTAAAATCTTCACCAAATGTTCCCTGCCCAGATCGCACACCATGCTTGCTCCTGGCAAACAGAATGGCAGCTGCTCCAGACCAAAACCACAACAAACAGCTAAACAATGTGGATGATCACAGGAGAGTGCCAGACTCAAGTCCTGAACTGGGGGTTTAACTCCAGCCAGGAACCAAGCCCTCGGCAGCTGCTTGCTCGCTCCCTCACCAAGTGGAATTGGGGAGAAGATCAGAAGGGTTAAACATAGAAAACTCATGGGCTGATATTAATACAGTTTAACAGGGGCAAAAAAGCTGCAGACACAAGCAAAGCAAAACAAAGACAATTCAGTGCTGCCCATGGGCAGGCAGGTGTTCAGCCACCTCTGGGACAGCTGGGTCCCATCACATGCAACAGTGACAGGGAAGACAAACACCATCTCTCAAAACATCCCCCCTTTCCTCCTTCAGCCCCTCACCTCGTACACTGAGTGTGATGCCACATGGTCTGAAATATCCCTTTGCTCAGCTGGGGTCGCCTGTCCTGGCTGTGTCCCCTCCCAGCCTCCCACGTCCCCCCAGGTTCCCCCTCCAGTGTGGTTGTACAGAGAAGGAAAGGCCTGGACTCTGTACATTCAATAATAATAAAAGCATCTCTATATTATCAACACAAATCCAAAACCTTGCCCCACACTAGGCACTTTGAAGAAAATTAACTCTCCTCTAGCTGAAACCAACACTCTTACATCAGAGATTACACACAGGCCTGCTCTTGATTACTACAGAAGTGAAAGCATATTAATATCTAACGTGGAAAAGGTTGTTCTTTATGATGTTTGCAAGAGATTGCAATCTGCCACTGAAACCTCAAATTCCTTTGAGATCAAATTTGTTTAGCTCATTTTATGTAATCAAAAACTTCAGTGAAAATACCTTTCAGTGAAAATCTCAGATAATTACCCTTGTGTTTCAGTAGTTTTCCTTATATTTGTAGTCAAGCTTTGAATCCATTATTGTGAGCTTGACAATAAACAAGTTTCTGCTGAAACTGAAACAAGATTATTATTTATAAATTCTATGAAATATTTTTGTCTATCCAGTGGGGTACTGAATGTAATATCTATGTCAGAATGCAATCTTATGTCATTAACAATGAAATTATGAACATTTTCTATATGTAAGGAATAGGTTATATTGCTGAGCCCTGGAATCCCATTTCAATATTTTCTGGTTAGCCACCAAGATAACCTGGTAGGCTGTCTGGCGAACCACTGTCAAAGTTCAGTCTCTATACAAGCATGAGTAACAAAATTTGCTGATGTAATTGTCTTGAAAAAAGACTGTTAATAATGGAGTATTATATAAATATTTTAACCTATTTAGCATTAGCACCAGTACATGTAGTCAAGGAGCACAAATGCTGGGTGTAAACTTACTTGATAGATTGTGAAGGTATAAATAATGGATATTTACATCCACTTTGGGTTTCAAATCAGAAATTGCCACTATTACAATAGCCAGGGTATGCCTGTGGTTATATGAAGTAATTAGGCAGAGAATTTTTTTTAAATTGTGACTGAAGACAGTGCACTAATGGTGACATATCAAAACTTGACAAAAATGTCAATCTTATCTTTTCCTTCACCCTAAAACCTAGATTGATTTTGTAAAAAAAGGATAAGAGTATGATTTTGGTATTTCCTTAACTGTTGGGTATCAACAATAAAAATATTAAATATGAGTAGGCTTGAAAGGTGGATATGCAATATAGCCAAGCTCCCTCCTTCATCACCTACTACAATCAGTCACCTTTCTGCAACTTGTAGCTGTGAATGTTTCAAGAACTGCTTAGTAAAAATGGGAAACGGCTTCTTCCATGAACTGTGTGGAGCCTTTTTACTTGCAATACACGTTATTTCTACACAGACTAATGTCTGTCTATGTGCATGATTTCATATGTATCTTTAGCTGCATTCCTTCATCGTGTGTTACTAAAGCTCAGGTTTGGGTTTCATTTTCTAAAGACCAGGTCTGTCTTGGCAGAGACATTGTTGTTACATCCTCTAACAATTTTTTTTGGCATAAGCATTTATGAAACCAAAGTATGAAGTGGAAATACAGTTAATGACTCTAATACCAAAATTCTGTTTAACAGATTCAAGAAATACAGATTCAACTGATTGATACTAATAAATATGTCTAATAAAGGAAAGTGGGGCACTTTTATACTAATCTTGATTGGATTGAGATTTTACCTAAAGTCTTCTCTCCTTACTTTGGGAATAACAGTACATGTCTGGAATGTTTGGTGTCTGGATAATGACATTTTATCCTAGTGAAAAAAAAAAAAAATGAAGTGTGAGTGTGGTAGAATAGAGCAGAAGAGTAACAGCAATTAAAAAGGTTGACTGCAGAGAAGTTGCAACAACCTTTATTGTACATCAGACATGATTCCTATAAATTTCCTACTACAGAAAATGAGGGGTAGATGTGTTCTTCCAGTTAACTGACAACTATGTCTACAAATGTGGCTCATGATTGTGAATGTCAAGACACAATCAAACAAAGGCTGGAAAACTCGGTTTCAGGTCAGTGTAGTTGTCAGGTATATGAAAATGTTGTAATTTAATTATAAAAGAGCATATAAAGTTTTAAGTCCAAAACATCAAACAATTATGATTATGCACAGATATGAACTGTTAGTTATACATAATCGATCAAGATAGCATTAATCTTTATGTAAAGTGCTTAATTTCATCTTAAAACAGAAATATGTGAAATACCTATTTATTGCACATATAAACATAAAGGCATTAAGATAGTATGAATTTATGATCTAATTTATCTTTTCAAATCAAAGCTATGAATAAAGAAATAAAATTAAGTAACTGTCATGATCCACCCTTACGAATGAGTGTCATGATGGTTCGTAGGGGTCATCTCAGGGTGCAAAAAACTGACACCGCTCAGGGGAATTGCAGTAACAATCAACAAGTGCAATTTTATTGAAATAACCACAGCAGAAATGCGTTGGGGAGGGAACCGGGGAAAAAAGGAGAAAATAAGGGAGAAAAGGGAGGAAGAAGAGGAGTGGGTTACAGCTACCAAATGTGGTGCTGCATTATCCTTCAGGGTCCAGCCAATGGAGTCCACCAGATCATGTCCAGGGAGATCTCGAAGGCACAGTTCATCTGGACCCCAGTTATACTCTTTTTCACTGGGGGAAAGGGGAATAAATTTTTCAAGTGAAACAAAGATCTTCAGTGGGGAAGAATGGTGTTTGATTAGGGGTACACAAAGTTTGGGCTAGGCAACAAGTGAGAGCCATTGTTTTTGTGGCCTACTGCCTGCACCTGCGCTTGCTTTGGGCAGCTTTCCTTCCCCCTCAGTGCACACCTCCCCTGCGTTGGGGCTTTCAGTCCCAGTCTCTGGAAGAAGGTGAGAGGGGGCCTTCTCACACAGGGATTTCATGTCTCGGTCTCTTGGTGAGGCTTCTTACATCTCTACTTGTCTGTCACGATGGTTAAGGATGGGCGAGAGAGGACTTCTCTTGGAGGAGGGACCACCCCAAAGCTCAAACCAGCCAGGCCAAGAGGTGAGGAATATTTCAGAGCTACTGTGCAAAAAGGGCAGGGTGCCCTTTTGAGCTCAGTGTGGCGTATAGCAAACAACACCTGTGGAAACAGTGAGCTAGCAATCAGGCACATGATTTTCCCCCCCACTGGTTCAGCAAACAGGAGTTTTTAATTTTTTGGTGGTCTCTCTCCATGACAATCCTGAAGCAAATGAAGGATATTTTGGACAGACTCTCACACCAACCTATGAATGATACCTCTTTAGATTAAAATATTAAATATGCTAGAATCAATTTTATTGAAAAAAAATTGTTACTGAAGATTTTGCTGAAGAATATTGAAATATGAAATATTTATAGAATAGAAATCCACATATTATTTCTCAGTTGTGAATATACAGAATTTACTGTATGAGACAATGTCATTGATCAGTTGCTGAAAGAACTGAATTATCATTTAGATTACTGAATATTCAAGTGTATAAATGAAGTAAATAATGCATTGCAAATGTATAACTGAATCCAATAAGCCCATGATATTCTTCCTAATGTTCAATCTGTTTTAGCCAAACTTTAGTGAATGAATGAATAAATAAATAAATAAATAAATAAATAAATAGACTTTGAAATTAGCTTTATGAGCCAAGACAGGAGGCCTCCAATTCATCAAGACCTAACCAAGCCATGCCCTGCTGGGGCTGGACTAATAAGTTTGGCCATCTGGAAGAGTTCTGTCTGACAACAGCAGTAAGAGATGATTTTTTCTGAAAGTAAGTGAGCCTGGACATGCCCTAGAGTCCAGTTCATTTTCCCTACTGCAGCCCCTTACAGTGCTGTATTTGCATGGGTAGCAAGAAAGGCGTTGATAATAAAACAGTGTTTTAGCTCCTGGTGAGGATCCCTGGCACAGCATCAATGCTGCCTCTCTAAAGTTCTGCCCCTTGCCAGTAGGCTGGGGATGGGCAACATCCTTGGAGAGGACAAAGCCAGGCAAGCTGACCAAGTTAACCAAAGGGATATTCCAAACCACATGACACCAGCTCAGCTATAATTGGTAAGAAAAGGAGGAAGCAAGGTGTATTTGTTATTTGCAATTTTGATATTCCAGAGCAACCACTACACAGCCTGAAGTCCTGTTTCCTGGAAGTGGCCAAACAGCACTTGTCAATGGAAAGCAGAGAATTTTATTTTTCCTCGTTGTTTGTGAAAAGGCAGCCTTTAGCTTTTGCTTGAGTAAACTGCTTATCTCAGCCTATGAGTTGTCTTCCACCGTTATTCCGCCTGTCCTGTTGAGAAAGTGAATGGCAGAGAGGCTTGGTGAGCCATCTGGCATACAGCCAAGGTCAACCCACAACATCAAGCCACTTCACATTAACTCAGCAGATTTCCATTTCTGCAAGAAGAAAGAACAAAGTCATCTAACCAAAGTCAAACATTGAGTACCTTATTACTGAGTAACAATTATTGAGTAACTTAGAAAATAAATTATTAAATTGTACCTAAAAACAAATAGGAAACCACTGCATTTATTTCATCAGCAAAGGTGTATCTACCGCATTGCTAGAACATAAACCTTTAATAATCCAGAACCATGAGAGGATGGTCTACTGTTGCACTTTGCAGTTGAAAAAGGGATTTGTAGGGTCCTAGCAACACTGAAGATTATTTACAACCTTATACTAAATACCCATGGAAAAATACTGGAGCACTGATACACAGGTATTTAGGAAAAAAAGCCCACAACTAATATCTCCTTCCTGGGTGATTGACTGACTATGGAATTCAGTTTGATGAAAAATATTAGTATAGGTGGCAAAGTATGACTCGAGGTAGGTCAAAAAAGCAAGAAGCACAATTTATTTATTTTACCCCTCACAGCTCCAGTTTTTAAAATTGTTGTCCTTGGTAAAACAAATCAGTATAATCAATAAATACCTTTCAGTTAGCTGCAGGAAGATTCTGATAAATTTAGAGATTGTTTAAATATCATTTTATTTTTTGATTCCTATTGGATATGACTGTAAGTAACAGCATATGTCTGTGAATCAGACAAATACTCTCTTGTGCCATTGGAACAGAGCTTCTTTTCCATAATTTTGTGTCAAATATTTTCAGGACAGAAAAACATTTGAGATAGTTAAAAAGAGAAGAATTAATACAGGTGTTACAAGCACTGGATGTAGAACAACCTAACTTCCAGTTTTGGATGTGTTAAGAGTTTTGAAGGTGGTAAGTTATCAATTCTTTTGTCCGCATTGCAGAAGTTGATGGCTTTGTTAATAATATATATTTATATTGTGTCTGTATTTATAGAGTGATAGATGTTATTTTCTTATGGTGTGTGCTTTATCCTTATATATTGATAAAACTAAACCAACACTTACTAGTGAGGATAAGTCAAATGGTTCCTATTTAAATAATCTTTCCATAAAACATGAAGTAGAGAAACATGTCTGACAAATGAATCAGGCATTCAAAGAAGCAGTTTTGAATCTGATTTGGTAAAATCAAGATACTTGCTATTTCACCACCAGAATAACAGAACCAGTAAACACTACTAGAACTATAAGAACAGTTATGATACTTGTTCATAATTTTTTCTCTTTTTTGTCTTCTGCAAGGCGTTATCTTAGAAAATCTTTGTGTGATAAGAAGACAATGAACTACAAGAAACAGAGTAGTATTAACATAGAATTTAAATATACATGTGGATATGATGTAGGACAAGTTTGGGTTCAGAAATTAAAACTCATTATAACTTTAGATGAAATTGATTGGGTAGTTACATACAGTAGTTCATCCCAAAAGGATTACTTCATCCTCATTAGAGTACCATGAGCTATTCTTTTTCAGAAAACCTATGAAGAATTTTTTTTACTTTTGTGCTTATTTATATGATATTCCCTCTAGAAAATATCATCTTGCATTTTCTATTACTGTTATTTCTTTTAAGTTCTGTAGCATAATATCTATATATACACAACATCCTGAAGTATATGTTAAGTTAATCACAAATTACAGAACGAGTTAGATGACATTTAAGATATATCAGTTCTTGTCTGTTTAATTCTGTGAAGCTTATTGGGAAAACACACATAATAAAAACACTGTAAAGAATTGTATAAATTTATTTCTTCATTTCTACATCTTTTTCCTTTTTTAATTTGCAATCTAGTTTGCTGATAAAAATAGTAGATTCCTAGTTTGTAAATTGTACCACCTTTGTTTGCCAACCAGGAGAAAAACGTTCTTGCCAATTCTAATGTGTCTTGCAGTACTTTCAAAAGCATGAGATTGATGACCTTGAAATCCGACCTTTTCTGCCACCAGAGGGTGGGGGTGGTGAGAAGAGGCGGAATTTGAAATTCTCCACATTCCTTTACGAGAGTTAAATCACAATACATTGGCAAACAGTGCTTTAAAGGACCAGCTCAAAGCTTTTTAATAAGGCCACTGAACTTTGCTTAAAGCCACAAAAACCAGAAATTGAGCAACATGTTACATAACGGAGACTTGGTTAAGTAGCACTGCCATACACACCTGGGACCTATTGAAAGTTAAGGACCTATTGAAAACATAATGGAAGGAAACTGTACAAGTTATTTCAGTCCTTTGATATTCCATTAAATATTTTCACTCTGTAATCTCCAAAATGTCATAGTTCATAAATGGTAAATTAATGAACACACACACAATTGGATTTTTTTTCTCTTCAATATCTGCAATACTTCTTTGCAAACAATAGCATGTCCATTATTAGCAGTCCTTTGTATCAGTGGAATTTGTTGTATTAAAGGGCTAATCACCATTTATGCTCCTGTTTTGTTTCTTCACAGTGGATTTTCAGACTATAACAGATTTACTGCAACAGTGATTTTTGACTGCAAAATGAACTAAGGCTGCCTTCCTGCATCTCCCCCAGCCCAACATTACAGGATCAGTCACTGTACAAAAAGGCTGGGCTGTACTATTGTTCTATAGGCCAGAAGTACGGGCCATTTTTTTTTTAGTTAATAATAAGCCATTAGCCTAATGGAGAGAGACTTAATCCTCAAAAGTTCTCAAACTTTTGAAAGTCAGATAAAAAAATTTCTCATCCAAATATTTTGTTGACTGTAGAATATTTTGTGCATAATGTCATGAAGGTTATACAACATCTCTAATCCTGTTAGTAGGGGGGGTGGTGTCTATGAAGATATTTTAAAAAATATCAAAGCACTAGGCAGAGATGGTGAATGCCATGCCTATGAATATTTTGATTAAAGAGAGCTGAGTAAATTGTCCTTACTTCTCATCTCAGTTTTTCATGGTGGGTTGTTTTGGGGTTTCTTAAATGCCTAGGTTGTCTTCTTCTATGGTATATGCAGTTACAATATGGTCTGGTGGGGGGGACTTTGGGGGAGGGAGTAATTTTCTCTATAATCCTTGTTATTATATCAAAAGTGATAGTTGAGGACTAAGAGCTGAAACAATATTTTATGAAAGTATCATGTTGAAGTTTTTGCAGGTTTCAAAATATTTAAATATGTAAATTTCAATGAAGAGACTTCAGATTTTTTGATAGCCTAATGATTTTAAGCATCTCATTTCTAGTCAAACACTGACAAAAGATGTTCAGATTGCAGTGTGAGATGGTTTCTATGGTTACAGTTGTTTCCTAGCATTTTAGTGACATCTTTTGTGAGCATTGGCTGCTTCACTTATTTGTCACTAATGTATGTGTAGAACTATAGTTAATAGCCTTGGGCGGACAATTTTTTTTTCTCTGAATGGTGGTATTGTTTTTTAGCAGCATTTTTCAATAAGGTGACAATGCACTAGAATACTAATGGTATGTATGGTATTTTAAGATGTCAAGTTTTCAATAAAATGGTAATGAAAATTTTGCATTTCATTTAATAGCTAAATATTCATGAATTTTTCACAGCATGATCAAGTGAGCAAAAAATAAAGGAACTGTATAATGTGTAATACTAAACATCATAAATTTAACTTCTTTTTATAGAATTGACTCAAGACTTTTTAATAGGTAGCTCTTTATAGACTTAAACCAACTGTAATAAAAGTATATGAATCTGGAATTTTAAATTAATTTAATTCTTTTATATATATCTTTTTTATGTTATAATATGAATGAAACATGCATTATTAATAATATTCTACATATGCAGAAAAACTGTTATGAGTAAAGACTGAGCATTTATGTGTAATAAATGAGGGTACACAAATATATATTCAGATGAAAAGACCACTAAGTTTGTGACTGTTTTGTTGAAATATTTTTATTTATTTCAATTTATTTAATCACAGTGTTAAAGTGTGTTCAGCTAAGAAGAAAGGGGATGCAGCATTATAATTTGTAGAGCATAGAGCTATCAATTCCTGAGCATATTACAAGTTCAGTGTTGTTTCTATGTTAGACAGAAGGAGTTTACTGTTGTCTTTAACAGAAGCACAATTAGGCTATCAGGTGAGTTAATTCCTATAAATTGTTGCTGCCAGTAACCATATGTATAGTGATTTATGACATGATCCCCCTTATTTAGTCTTTACTCACAGAGCTCTTTTTTGCTGAAATGGAGTCACTCTATGCCGGGCATTTTTTGTCAGCCAAGTCAGTATTTTAAATGTACATTTTTAAAATGCAAGCATGAAATGCATTATTCAGCAGCAACACTGGGCTAAGTGTTGTTTCTTCTCTGCATATGAGGGAGCTTCATATGGATTCAATTCCAAATCATGAGAACCTGTACCAAACAGTATCATCAATTCTACCACTTTCACAATTCCAAGGCATATTTTTCCTCATCTCTAATTTTTTTTTTACAGGCTGGTATGTTATTTCAAGTTATTCTTCAAATTATTCTATACATTTTGCCTTAAAAAATAGTACAAGAATATTTATATGCAACATCATATCTCCCAAAAGACTTGCTTAGAATCATGCTTAGATGTGAATCTTGCTTAGAAATGCTCTAGAGCAACTGAATATATAGTTAGTTTTCTCCATTAACAACCTTTTGGCTGGCCTGACTTCAAGACCTACAGAAAATTACATGATGCAAATTGCTGGGACAATACAGGCAAAATCAAGGCAAGGGACAGAGAGATCTACTATATATGCATGGATGTGAAAATGTGTATTCTCTGCATAGAGAAGCGCAAATGCTGTGGAGAAGGAAACTGTTCCTGTTTAGAGCACCAAATCTCATTTCATGACAGTCAAGACAGCTAAAGGGCCACAAAAAGCCAAAAGCCTCCAGTTAACTGGTGATTACTTTTGACT